ACCTGCCTTTCCGTTTGCCTGTCTGACACGAAAAAAACACTGATACCGTCAAAGAGACCGCCTCTATAACGGTTTGATAAACAATATGGTTTACACTGCGATTAATTTAGTTCGGCATTTCTACTGACTGACCAAGTGTGATGTCACCGTGGTAGAAAAGAACCACACTGCATCCTGTGATTTTTACTAAAACCGGAACGCAGCCCATAAGGCTCTACAAGTGAGAAGCACGTCCAAGCATCTCAACTAAAGTTCTCAAATAGAGTGCTCATCACGTCGAATATGCAGACTGCCGCATCTACTACTATGAGGAAGGTCTTCGCTGCGGAGTTACTTATTGGAAAACACCAACTGAACAGTTACAGGCTATTGGACAGGGAAGCAAAACTCTCATATGCGTCCTGTTTATAAAAACTGGTCTCAGCGGTGTTCCATCTGGATAGCAGTGACCTTGTTACCATATTAGCCACAATTTTATTGAAAAGTCGCACTTTAGACCCAGTAAGATGCATCAAGCAAACAAAATAGCTCCCACAATTGTCACGTAAGCGGTCCCCTTAAGCATACCTGAGAACGATCGGTCACACGTAGCTGAGTTTTTAGGACCCGGCTACAAAACGTCATCATAAACATGCAATTGAAATTTGCTCCCGGGGCAAAGCACCCGCCAGATTAGCAGCTACAATTCCAGACTATCCAAATGAGACAGCTTGTTTATCAGTTTTTGGGTTCCTTAAACAAGCCAAACAGCAAAACTTATGTGCTTATTCTCATCAAGGAGGGGCAACATCACCGCCACGGTTTCACAAAATTTTAAAGTTACCTGAAAAATACAGCAACCTTTGGCTTGAAACAAGCAAACATGTGGTGAGCCACAGTAAGGTCTTGAAAAGATGGAAAACATTTTCTTGAGCAAAATAGGTAGTACTGCACAATATCGATGTACATTTCCGGTACCCCGTCAGGTCTACTAGATGGCGCGTGCCAATCAGCAGGGGACGATTTTCGACTGCTCGCATTGACTTAAAGAAACGATGTAAATAGAGCTATCTTCTGCATTTTACTTGGCATCAAGAAACACTTACGAAAATCGATATTCATATGGGATTTTCATAAATGTGCACAGCTTTTGGTACTCTGCTCTAAAGTGCCTCGAATATAGACCGATAGCATGGTTTTCACGAAATGTCAAGTTTCCAACTGAATATAATTGTTGACCTAATAGGGCCTGTTCATCAAAATGACAGCTGCATTATTTTACATTCAAATTCATGACTGATTGATAAACCTGGTGTGCAAAAACCGGAGCCCTCTTATCAAAATGAGGGTCAGCCTCTTGGGTCACTAGTTCATTCCTAAGCACAAATACCTCTCTGTATTCACTTCGTATGAGGTTATGGTGCCGACAGACAAACGTCACTCACGGAAAACACTCCACTCACTTAGTTAAGTGAAGTAGCTTAAAATACTACCCGTGAATACCGCCCAGAAAAGCGCTGAAGTTCAAACGACTTGATAAAAATAATTGTGAGGAAGACGCACGAAATGTTTTCGAAGGTTCTGAATTCCAAGTTAACCAAAATGTCTTCTTATTCGAAGCCGCTGAAATAGATTTTGAATCTTTTCGGCGCGACAGGATATTGAAAAAAATAACCTTTTGGCTTAAAACTTTCACTGACCTTCACTAGAAAGAAATTTTTGAATATACGTGGTAGGTGGGCATGAAGGAAAATCAGACACCAGGTCGCTAAATTAAAGGTTAAAAATAGCGCACTATTAATGCCTATCAATTATGTACCCCTCCTCGCACACAGCGGGAAAGTGTATTGCGAATTGGAGGAATTCCTTACAAATATATCGTTTTTGTAACTTTTTATCATCAGGATAACCCAGTTGTTCGAGTAGGAGTATAAATCCAACAATTTAAGCGATGGATGGCCTATACGTAATATAATCAACTTGAACCTAGAGAAGATAAAAAAAATAGGTTCTGGTAATGGACAAGTAAACAGTATTGATACTATCTTGAGATCAGTCAATAATTCACTGAAACACTGGAATTACTTACGTAACTTTGAGAAATAGTATGCTTCTTTATGGGAAGCTAGCTTCCTCGTTTCTAGGATACGAACAAGTTGGTTACGGGCAGCCCCTAGCGACTGTCTGAGTATCGCAGCTTGTTGAGTTTGATTGCCATTTGTCTATGTTTCTGAGAACTTTTGGCATGAAATGTTGCATATGGTGCGCTGATTTTTAAATTTGGTGAAAAATCATTATATTGCGAATGTTCACGCATTTGAGATTCAGGGATGTAAGTGAAATCTGAACGTATATGCCCTTCAAAATTTCATCCTGCAAGGAAAGTCAGTCTATCCAAAAAACCAGCCATGATATTTTGGTCTGGAAACTTTAGCAGCGCACATGTGACAAAGTTATGAGGAAATTGGTGGGTGGTTGGGCATTACAGTATGTCATAGAAAGTAGCTACTCAACAGTATTTTCAACTTGCAGTCAAATCAGATATATAAGCGCCTAATTTTACTGAGTGCCTTTCAGCACTATCGTCCTAAAAATGACGAAACCATCAACCATAAATTTGGTGCAGAACCGACAAGTCATCCATCACCACAGTGACGATGTATTGATGGGCGGATCCCTGTATAGCCCGCGTGATTCTGGGCTGGTGGGGTAAGATATTATACTAGTAATTAAAGAGATGGGTGAGGCCAGAAAATCGATACCAATTAAATAACAAATGTCAGTCTTCAGAAAAAAACGTTACTTGAGGAGCTGTTCAACATCTGATAACTTAATGAATTGTCCAATGCCCTGTCTAAAGGCGAATTTCTCACTGCTGCTTGAATAAATGTAGCTGAGCGGCACCGTGTTACGCTACCAAGCAGAATGTCGCGGGTTCAAAATATTAAAGAGTTTTATGTACCGGTGAAAAAAAGCAAACAACGATAGGCGGACAAACACAACAGAGAAGTTAGGTCTTTCTTACACTTCACTAGGCTGCTAGGTTACCGCTTTTGGCCTACCTTGGAATCATCACGCACTCGTAATTCCCCCATTTTGCTCAAACACTTTCCCCAGACTGAAAGCATGTAGCACAGTACGCTCATTTGTAAACCAAACAAGAAGCTTAATTAAATCCTATCAGAGTCATATCATGAACCAGAGTTTCAGAGTGGTTTCATTTGTGATCCCCGTTGTCACCAACTTTGCAAACAGAGGCATTTTACCAGAAATAATTCCCTTCCCTATGAGGAACAAATTTTTATTTGTCTAAGAAATGGTGACGAACTTTAAAACATTTATGAAAAAAGGATTAACACTGTCCATATGCAATCCATTCCTCGTGCCAAGACATTTTGATGAATACAAACCAACATTAAGATGGCGACAAACACAAGTTTTTTGTCTGGTTCCATCTATAATTCAGCTTGCACAAACCATCGGATTGCAGAGGAGTGCTAATAAATATCGCGGCTTCGGCTTAAGTTTTTCTTGTTCATCTGACGTCATTCTCTATACCCACCGTTCTTTAGCGAACTATGTATTCTGAAGAGGAAAAATACTGCTATTGGTATTCGTTGAGGTGTTGATGTATTGAAAGCGTACTTTTGCAGCCAGATTGGTTTCCGTAGAAGCAACGATGCACCGCGTATACACCGCTTGTTATGAAGTGATTTTAATCTATTTTTCACGTGACTGTCGCTGCTCGTAGCCCTTTCGTTGGTCATATTGCGTCCACAAGTATCTTGAGCTTTATCACCACATGTGATGAGCTGGAACAAATCTAAGGCATTATTTGTATTGTAAGATTTCGGAAGTTTAGTGAAGAATTTATTTCGTGAGTGACAATTCCGTGAAATTAACTGATGAGATATTCATTCAAACTTCATCAAAGGAATGCGAACAGTTAATGTAAGCTTGAAGAATTGGGGAATTTATGATTTCTTTCCTTCCTCAGTGTCCAGCTTTTCGGAATTCATCGACAACGTTAAACATCTTTGTACCTGAAAACACCGTAGCATGTCCCCTATCTACATTTCTAACAGAATTCAACAGTAAATTTTGGCAGTAAACCATCTGTGTTCTGCGCAAATTTCAGTATAACCGCAAAGTCATTGGATCACCAAAAAATTGGGATTCGAAAATCTGGTAACTTTCATGTTTATGTGATGGCATTCAATGGAGTTAAGAACTGCTGTCCTTAGGGTCCAGCACCAAAATCTCCTGCATAAAAAATATATAGTTTGAAAAATAAAGCTGTTCTTAGTGTATCCAACTTATTAGGCATAAATGTAGAGAAAAGTCAGCTCTAGAGACCCATTCTGCGGTAAAAAATAAAAACTCGCCCAAAAAACCGTCCCCGTTTGACTGAAGCCAAGAAACGCCCAAAGTTGGACCCGTGATACCAACTGAGAAACACCAGAAAGATTATGATTCTCAAAGAAATGCTCTTCTAAGGCGATACCGCCATTGGCACTAAGTGCAAATACCCTAAAGAAAATTTGGCGCTTGAGACCACATACCACCGTCGCGGCTTCAGTACAAACAACTCAATAACCAGTATCTTCTACGAGTGAAAAGAACGCGAGGCAAGTTATTTAAAGGAGTAAGTATTATTCGCCAGCAATCCTTTAACATACATCGCTGAGGGCTGCGGGTTAATTTTACTTATTATTTATTTTTGAAGAGCATGGTCACAAACATAAAAAGTGAGTGCAAGCGATGAATGCGAAAGAGTAACAGGAGAATATGGGAGAAAAGAGAGAAACGTCTCAGTCGAAATCATGCCAAGGACAGTGCCAGGCTGATGAGGTGAATCCCAAAGTATGTAAGGATTTTGGTATGGGAACACGCGTCTAAGGACCAGCAACCAAAGAAAGGACAAACAGTGGTGAATGCTCTTCAGGGCGCAGTGTGCGCTATCACAGTCCAGACTCACACATCAGGCACATAGTGACCGTCATACTGGGTTTGGTGTGAGACTAAATGGCAAAAATGTACTTTGAACGCCATGTGCCACGCATAAAAGTGTCATAAGTACGCAGAAAGCCTACAATGGCAAGCAAACACAAGTCACTGACTGCGACCTTAGGAAGTCCCAGTCCCAT